ATCCCAGCAGAAAATTATTATTTCAAACTGTAAAACATACAAAACACCTTTATTATAGTTTAAAAATAAAGAAGGGAAGCTGAGCATAACAGCTCCAGTTTAAAGATAGACAAAAGGCTCAAAAAGCACCATTAAAAGCTGAAATCTGTTTAACAAATGATGTAAACTCTTATTTTTAAACCAACAAATCTAAAAGCAACACATATTTTGGCTTCATGTATTAACAGTTGTGTTGAACTACTCACTCCGTCAGCAGCTCCACGACTAAAAGCTGCACCGCCTTGTTATTACTTTCATTTTTAATGATTTCAATTTGAAGTAAATATTATTTATAACAATTTCTCCAGTCATCTATTATTATTATAGATGTTTTTCATTTCATCTTACATTTAGCTCGACGGTGTTTGTTGCTTCACCTCTTTGTTTTCTGAATAAATCCTCCCAAGTGGGATAATTAAACTTTGGAGCTACCATTTTGAACTGTGTGTTAAACGGAAGTTCTTACTTCAGATTTCCCAAAATTGCAGCTTTTGTTCTGTCTATGATCAGTGCAAAGACCAGCTCCAGTCCTAATTCAGGCTAGAAAGAGTCTCACAGTCATATTCAAATGATACCATATATGCCCCATAGCTGCATAAAAGGCTAAAATTGTTATCTTTTTACAAAAAACAGCTGAACATGGGAGGTTTTTGGACCAATTTTGTGTTCTCCATTCTTTAAGCACCGGTTTGAGCACCGTTTAAGCACCGGCACCGTTTCAAAAGTACCGGTTTGGCACCGGTATCGGATAAAACCTAAACGATACCCATCCCTAGTTATAAGAGTCAGAAGCTCAGTCTCAGCGTGATGTCTTTAACTTGTTTAAACTGCTGTATTGCTAAAAACGGCTCAGAGGGCCGCTCCTCCTGACCCCTGTGTGTTTGGATTAGCATTAATGCTGCCACTGCTGTTTACACGTTGTGTAACATCACATTGTTCCTTATGATTTGATTCATTCTGATGGGTCCCCCTTTTCATACTTCACGAGCACCAATAAGACGTGTTTGTGTCCTCTGGGCAGGAATCTGCTTAGCAGATATGAGAACCTGGTGAGCCTCATACACCATCTGGGATGTGACTAAATGCTTAGTCATATCAGAGGAGATTTTTTTTTTCAAGGAGAAGAAGGGGAGAATAAATCCCATTACATCATCCTAGTGAGCAAAACTTGTCTGAAAGAATCAATATTACTGTGACAGGAGCCATAAGGCTTTCATTCCCCAGCCTCGCCTCCACGCCGCACAACTCCACGGGTGTAACCGAGCTAAGGAAGAGAGATCAGAAATTGTAATTGTCCTCTGCAATCTGAGTTCTGTCTACATAAACTTGACCTTTAACCCTGTGCTGAACTTGAACAGGAACTTGGGCAACAGCGAAAGCATCACCCTCCGAATACACGATGTGTTCAAATGTTTGGATGTGTGCTGCTTTGCTTTACCCAGACCACCATTACAAATAAGAATAACATTATTAAAATAATAACAGGAAAAAAATTTTAATATTCGGCGTACGGTAATATATTCCTCCTCTGAAGCAGCTGTAAGGGTGAGAAATTTATACACAGTCATGTTTAGAGATGATGTATGACTACTACACCTCTGCCAATATTAAATATTTATGTTTTCTCATAAATATGTAATCCTCTCAACTCACCAGGAGCAGGAGCAGTGTGGTTCGAGGAAGGCTCCTGGGGCTTCTGAGGAGGCAGGGGGCCATTCCTCTCCTCCTGGACTGGACTACCCTGCAGACGACGGCCACGTGTTATTAAGGAAATTAGCATTAATAAAGAACCTGCAGACCAAGTGGTAAAGGTTAAACTAGGATTTAATGCAAGGGACAAGCAGCAATATTTTAAAGGTACTTTTTGTAAGTGCAAAATGTAATTAATAAGAACGTCATTCCACACCACCAGGGGGCAGTGTTTTACCTCTGGATGCTCTGAAATATTTTCCGATGTTGGTCTTTTAACTCTTTATATTCTTTTAGACCTAAACAAATGACCTCAAAATTACTAAGGCTATCCCTCAAAACATTCTATGTACAGCATATAATCTTTTTCAAAACCCTGACTATAGA